AGAGCTTATAAAGCTTCCAAAAATTTGACTAAGTTTAAAAACTAACAAATATCCGACATTCAAAATTTGGATATAAAATCATTAAATATATAAAGTGAAAAAATCCTAACAAGGTTCAAAACCTTATAAACACTTTGGTATATAGGAGAAAGGAGATATACGGACCGAATTTCGGTTTTGGACTTCAGAATTTAATAAATGGGCTAATGATCCATAAGATTATTCTTTTGATTCAAAGTTAGTTTGGAACATGTTGATAAATTCAACAAAGAAAATATCTCCTCTAAATTGATTATATGTTGTAACGTTAAAGGCAAAATTAAAGTTGATTGAATTTGATTCAAACGTGTCTTTAGTATGAGATTAATTCTCATAACTACACATATAACTCCACTTATACGTTATGCTTTCTTTTGCTATAAGACAAGCATCGTTATTCTCATTTGAGACAGACAATGATACATGATCATACGATCATTCATTCGAATAACAACAACAAAAACTCTCTCACATGTTTTTCTTAATTTATTTTGTGTCTGAGAGTATAACACAGTGTTCGTGTGATTTTGTTCTTGAGCTGTGCAAAACAGAGTTGATTACAGTTGTATCTTGGAATTCGGAACATCACACAACCGTCACATTACGGGACGTTTTCAGAATTAAGGATATAGATTTTTTCGCTTCTGCATATTCGTTCTTATCATAATTTCTGTATCAGTATTTTGATTTTAATATCGATTTATTTATGTATTTCATTTTACAAATATCAGTTTGTCCAATTCTAATAATTTTAGTTCCTACTGCAACAATAACCTCCATGGTTATGATCAATGCAATACTCAACTTCTTCCACGCCATTTATTTCTTGTTCTCTTCAACATTTGAAGTAGGTGGGATATATTCACACATTTCCGATTACCCACAAACTTTCCGAAATGTACTTAGAACAAAATGTGCTAAATCCACCAAAGACTTCGAGAAAGTGATAAATAATCTACCAAATAGACAAAAAAAAAATCTATCAAATAGACAAATTTTTTTTTGAAGAAAAGAAATATATCATTTTATGATAAAATCATGAACACTATGTATGTTTATTCATTCATAAATACTTTGATCCGATGAGCAGAACGACGATGAAATTCTAAGCAGATCAACGGCAAAAGTCGTCGTGTCTGTCGCATGGTTGCCACATTGCAGAGATGTTTGTCTATTCTGCCAACACGAAAATTTAGAGATAAGTTTGATTGTAAAATTGTATGTTGTGTTGGGTTTTGTAAAATCTCATAGGCACAATGGACTATGATAATATATAGGAGAAATTGTAAAAATGTCATTTTTATGTGCATATTTACAAAATTGCCAATTAAAAAGTGTTCATTTGCAAAAATATCACTAATTATAGATTTTTAAACTATATATCTTAAAATTGTAATTACTAAAAAATATTTTGACCCCTAAACCCTTCTAAACCCTCGTAACTAAACTCTAATAGAACATAATTAACCCAAATATAAATAATATAAAAAAATTAATTTTGAAAAAGTGATATTTTTGTAAAAATTTTTAAAGTGTGGCATTTTTGAAATTTCTCTAATATATATTCTTGGGCGATAAAAAAAAAGAAATTGATCCGATCCGCGTTTTTGGTGGTTTAAGTTTGAAGGTAGTGGGACCCGCCCGGTTCCAAGTGGTTATTCGCCGCACAAAATTCTGTCCTCCCTCCCACACAGAGAGAGCATTTGCCGGCGGCGAAGAAATGAAAGGATTGCTTTCCCTTCAGCCGTTTCCCTCCTTGTCCACGTTTACCAATCCCCCCCGTAGACCCTCCTCTTCTGCTCCTCTTCGTGCCCAACAGGTTTCTTTTTCTTCCGATTCCGATTCCCGGAATTCTCGTTTATTGCTTGAATTTCGTCTTGTTTTGGTCAGTCTGAAATCACACAAGGTTCTGATTCGGCACTGGAAGGTAGAGTAAGTGAGCTGAAGATCGATGAGAAAGAAGTCGGTATGTACCAGAATGAAGTCGTTGCTAGTCAGGGTATAAGGATAAGGAGAAGACCTCCCACCGGACCTCCCTTGCATTACGTCGGACCTTTTGAGTTCCGCCTACAGAACGAGGGAAACACGCCTCGCAACATCTTGGAAGAGATCATATGGCACAAGGATAAAGAGGTTTCTCAGGTGGGAATTCATGGAGTGTGCGCTTCTTTCTTTCTTTCATCCATTTGCTCTAATTCCAAATTCGCAGATGAAGGAGAGAAAGCCTCTCTATACCCTCAAGAAGGCTCTCGAAAACGTTCCTCCTCCTAGAGACTTCATTGCTGCTCTTCAATCTGCCCGTCAAAGAACCGCCCTGCCTGCTTTGATAGCTGAGGTTAAGAAAGCTTCTCCAAGCAGAGGAATCCTGAGAGAGGATTTTAACCCTGTAAGAAGAGTTTACCTCATTTTTTCTTTCTTTGGGATTAGAAAGAACTACTTCTCAAGGCTATCTAATCATCGTAGGTTGAAATCGCACAAGCTTATGAGAAGGGCGGAGCAGCATGTCTTAGCGTTTTGACCGATGAAAAATACTTCAAGGTAATACCATCAAGGAGATGTTCTTCCAGACCAACTTAGATCTTATAACTTTGTTTCCCCTTCCTTCAACTATCATGTAGCAGCTTTGAGAACCTGTCAAACGTTCTTTGCCATGATGTTGTTTCCATATAGGGAAGCTTTGAGAACCTGCAAGCAATAAGGAATGCTGGTGTCGAGGTTCTTGCTTTCCMCCCCCCCCCCCCCCCAAAAATATTCGGTTTCTCTGTTTAATCTTATTCAGATACTGCCATACAACTGTGACATGGAAAATTCTGATGTCTTGTCATAAAAAAATGCAGTGCCCTTTGCTATGCAAAGAGTTCATTGTAGAGGCATGGCAGATATACTATGGTAGAAGCAAAGGCGCTGACGCAGTTCTCTTGATCGCTTCTGTGTTACCTGACCTTGACATCAAATACATGATTAAGATTTGCAAAATACTTGGAATGGCTACAGTTGTGGAGGTTTGTGTGCTCTCAGGGAACCCCATTCATATATGCTTCAACTAATGCTTCTGCCTCGCTTGGTTACAACTTGCCACTAGGTTCATGATGAAAGGGAGATGGATCGCGTTCTTGCAATTGAAGGAGTTGAGCTTATTGGCATCAATAACCGTAATCTTGGTAAAAGCTTGAACATGACATTCTTTAAAGCTAGAGAGGTTCAATCCTTCTTGATCTGTTTTATTACCCTTTCTTTCAGACACGTTTGAAGTAGATATTGGTATTACAAAGAAGCTGCTCGAAGGAGAGCGTGGCAAACTGATCCGTCAAAAAGGCATCATGGTAAGCTGTATTCAAGTCCTCTGTTTCTCTTTACCCCCTTGCAGCCTTACACACCCCTCACTAAAAAATTGTTATCCTCAACTTGTCTTTACACGGTAGGTGGTTGGAGAATCCGGGTTGTTCACTCCCGAAGACATTGCATTTGTACAAGAAGCTGGTGTCAAAGCAGTAAGTTTTTGCAAACTTAATGGGTCAAGATACATTGCTCAAAATGGTAATGGTTAACCTGATCCTAGCTTCCTTGTGGTTATCTTTTTCTGTTGTTAGGTTCTAGTCGGAGAATCTCTTGTAAAACAAAGCGATCCCGGGAAAGGAATCAGCGCACTTTTTGGAAGAGATATCTCAGCATGAGTTTAGTAGAAACTTTTTGTATAGAAAAAGCTTCAGCGAAGTCTCCCTCTTCTTAATGTCGCACAAGTGTGCAGAGAGACTTGTGCCTATACAGACATGTCCAACTTTCTTTTCTTGTCATGTATAACATTTTGTAACTAAATTTTCTTATCAAATGTCAAAGCTTTTCTACATATTCTCAGTGCTTGTAATGGCTGTCTCCATGCAAATTGGAGATTACGACAAGGTAATGATGATGTATGGTGAAGCAAAGGTATTGTCAGATGTTACAATCAATTTTCCAACAGAACATCAGGATAAACATGAATTGGCAATAACAATAAGATCTCTGACTCATAAAATCTAGATGCTTCATAGTTAAAAACTGAAAAGAAAGAAACAGAAGCCGAATTCATATAATTAAAAAGACTTACAGAATCAACGATCACTCCTTTATTGAGAGACCAACTAACATCAAACTCAAGTGCAACTACCGACACTTGGAAGTTGGAAGAGAAATAGATATGTCTATTTACTTTACCAACCTGCACAAGAAATACACCATGAGGAGATCATGAGTTTTACACAGTCCCTCTCCCACATTCTATGAACACTACTCAGAATGCGAGTTACCTTGGATTCTTAATGCATCAAACGAGTTCAAGAACAAGAGCAGAAGCACCTCCTCCTCCATTGCACACTCCACCCACACCGTACTTGCCACTTCTCTTCCTTAGTATCCCAAGCAATGTAATCAGAATACGGGCTCCACTGCAGCCTAGAGGATGACCTAAGGAGACAGCTCCCCCATTTACGTTCACCTTCTCCTGTTTAGACATAGAGGAACAAACCGATGTTTATGAGACCAGCTGATTGATAAGGTGATGATTTATGAGACTAGATGATGTAAAAGACTGACCGGAACTATCCCAAGTAGCTTTTGATTTGCAAGTGCTACAACCTGCGAAAAATGTCAGTTCAGTCAAAATTAGCCAATCACAAATGTTTGTCTACTCTTTAGGAGATGAAGACGGATTTTCTTACTGCAAATGCTTCATTGATCTCATAGTAATCAACTTGAGAAGATTCCAGACCAGCATGTGCAATAGCTTTTGGTATTGCAAGAGCAGGAGCAGTAGTGAAAAACTCCGGTTCCTGCAGGGTTTGGATCTCATTTAGTTAATGGAATAAGACATCTAAAATGTTGTAATTAAGAAGGCAATATTATAAGTGATGTACCTGAGCTGCATCACCATACCCTTTAACTTTTGCGAATACTTGAAGTCCTAGCTGAAGCGCCTTCTCTCCGCTCACCAGGACAAGAGCAGCTGCACCATCACTTTGAAAGGGATACAAAATTTTAGTTAAGAGAGAGAGAGAGAAGTTGCAAGTCAAACCAAGTTCCACTTCAAAGATTACATGGGTTCTTTATCAGATGAGAATGTATATATAATAGATAAAAAAATGGTCATCTAGAAAAAAGACCTTATGCTAGACGCATTTCCAGCTGTAACAGTGCCTCCATTCTCCTTGAAACTCGGGCGGAGTTTCCTCAATTTTGCAGCATCAAACTGGGATATTAAGTCATCATACATGTAGCATAAGAAATTTAGTTCTGTGATTTTATTTATTTATATAACCATTCATTTCATTAAAAGATAGAAATGGCTAAAATTATGACTGACACACATGAGAATAGGTATATACATACTCTATTGATTACCTTAGTTCCCTTTAGAAAAAAATACTTACGAAACAGGTGAGTAACAAGAAAAACACAAGTTCAGGTTCACTAGAGGCTATTATAAATCAGGGCATTAATGCATAATCTATAACAAACATCACCTTCCCAAGACCTTCGTCCTTGTCAACAATGGTTGATGGCCTGCCCCTTCCTCCAGAGACTTCAACCTGTATATCCATGTATGGTTACGGTATTCACACCATATATCATGCATTGACAAATACAATACATAAATACACTAACCGGGACAATTTCCCATGTGAAGGCACCAGCTTCCTGGGCAGCAATACCACGGTCAAAACTCTGGACGGCATAGTCATCCTGCATATTCACCAGTAGGAAACCAATAAACTCATTAACGTTTTGAATTTCAGCAAACTATGGAAACGTGCTAAACATATTCTTGTATCGCACAGTTTGAGAGAGAGAGAGAGGTAAACTATCAAGGATGAAATTTTACAGAAAATATGCAACTCATGCTTGTTAATTCAAGAAGATAAAGGAAAAACATACTTGCTGCTCCCTCGTTATCTCATATTTCTCAGCGCACAATTCTGCACAACTTCCCATCCCACAGTCGCTATAGACATCCCATAGGCCATCCTTTAGCATTCCATCTACTAGAGAATCATGACCGAATCGAGATCCTTTCCTGCATAATAAAATTGAATAATAAACTAAGAAAGGGATATGCATAAGAGTAGATAGACCAAATGACTGCATAACCGCATCATTTACCTTGCTTCTGCCAGATATTTTGGTGTATTAGACATGCTTTCCATGCCACCTGCGACGACTACATCATTGATCCCCAACTGGATACTTTGAGCAGCAAGCATTACCGCTGAAACGACGGAACAAGACAAGACGGTAAAAATAGTGTGTCCTGATCTTAAAAGGGTAAAAAAGCCACACTCCCAAGTTCTCACCTTTCATGCCTGATGCACAAACCTTGTTGACAGTGGTACAGATAACGGAGCTAGGGATTCCTGCCCCTAAAGCAGCCTGGCGAGCAGGAGCCTGACCGAGATTTGCACTAAGAACATTGCCAAAGATAACTTCCTGTACGAGAGAAGGGTCAAGATTTGCCCTCTTGAGAGCAGCTGGGCAGTAAATGCAAGGGGACGTCAATTACTACAATATAAAGAAAAGGGTGGGTCACACAGAAAGGGATCCAAGGATCGGACCTGCAATAGCTATGGATCCAAGCTTTGTGGCAGGTAAGGAAGAGAGAGATCCGAGAAAACCACCCATGGGGGTGCGTGCAACACCCACGATGCAAACATCTGTTGAACAATTCGTCTACTTAAATTCCTGGGTTGGGTGGATCAGGAAGAAGAATGTGATAAAGAACAAGGGTAGTACCTCTGGGATTAACGGAGGAATCTGGTGTATGAGCCATGAATAATCTAGAAAAATGCAGTGAGAGGTCAGACCGATCGTTCCATTAAATGCAGAGAGATCTATGACTTTACCTGAGTCGAGGGAAGAAAGGAGAAATGAGAGTCGTATCAAACGGGAACGTTTTCTTTCTTGTGCTTTTGCGACGATAACTACGAGGAAGAGCAACACGACAGCTATGTGATCTCTGCTGCTTCAAATCTGTTTTATTTTGATTAAAAAATTGGATTTGTTCAGGAAAAAGAAAAAGAAAAAAACCTCTGATTATATAAAAAAAATTTGAATTAGAAAGACCATCATTCGGTTCTTGTT